TCATCTTAACTGTCAATGGAATATCGATTACCTAAAAGAATAAAATAATTGGAAAAATCTAAACTAGATCTTTTTAGTTACTTGTGACATTCCTCTTACAATCTGCTCAAAGCGTCCTTTCCTTTGCATTAAACCACACCCACTACCCTGGAGGACAAAAAATTAATACATCTGATAAAAAATAATTGAGTAAAGTAGTGCACNCTTTTTAAAAACTAGATCAATGGGGCAGCCGCAGTTGATGTCAATAAAATCGACAGAGCAATGAATATTAATGAGCTCAGCACAGCGAGTCATTACATCAACCGAAGAACCACAAACCTAAATTAATTAGTGGGAGGAGCCTAAACACACATAAATACCTGGATGCCAAAAATGTCCTCCGATTCATGTCTCTTCACTAATGCCCACTCACTCTGCTGACCCTAAAAAGCAACAAAAATGTCCACTATAATCTTATTGTGTGTAGAGTGGCATTAGTGGTCAAAATGAATGATAAGGGAAGGACATCTTCTATAAATATCTTCTTCTATATATTATATATCTTCTTCTTTATACCTGAAGTAAGTTGAATGCCATTGCCATTTCGCTGCAGGTGATGTCAGCACCAAACCTCTTGCATATCCTTCTAAAGGGAAGGTTACCAACCTTTGGATAAGAGAAACATAAAGAAGGAGGACAATCAGGACATGTAGTGGAAGGATATGGAGAGGACCTACTTACGGTAGTAAGAGGAGCCAAATAAAGCTTGTTATTGAAGTCAACCTACACAGCATAAGGACATCAATACATGTATGTATCAGAAAATGTAATAAAAATTTGGGATGATTTTGGATCCATTTTTTGGAAAAAACCATGGGCTATAGTCCATGCTTTTTTCAAATTTTGCTACATGTACATGTACATTGTATTTAGTTACATGCTCATAACTTTTGTTTAGTAGTACCTTTTTCTTCTCTCGTGGTTTGAGTGATATCCTATCCTCATCAGTACACGGTCCACTAGTCCCAATACTCATTTCCTCACTATTCTCTGGAGGAGCAGTGAGTGATGAACCAGTAGTGAGGCCATCAGTGATTGCTCCTTGTGGTAACTTTGCTGCATCTTCTATAGCTGATCCAGTCTCACTAGCCATCTTATGATCTAAAGTGCCTTCACACTGTTGTATTCCTTCTCTAACTGGGGTTACAGTCTTAGTAGAATCAGTTTCTTTCTCTTCTTTGATGCTTCCATCTTCTCCTTTATCTCCTTCAAGACAGTTCTCTTTTACCTCTTCCTCAGCTCTTAGTCTCTCTCCTTCACTATCACCTCCTCCATTATTACCCACTACACCCTCTTCATTGATACTACTTGTCTCTTCTTCCTTGAGTTTCTCCTCTTCAGTAATTGAGTTTTTGGCATCACCTGATGATGGCCCCGTAAGGTTTTTCTTTGGTTCTAAAGATTTCAAATATTCCTCAGAGCGAGGGAAGGAAACTTTCTTCTTCCTTAATGCAATCTGAAGTGACTTCTCTATTACATTGGATACAGACTTTATTCTCTTCTCATCATACAAACTCTTATTGATGATGTTTTCCCCTTCAGCTGAGATATGGGAGGAGCCAAAGCGACAGGCAATACCAGAAGGGCACATCCCATAAGTGGTGTACATGTAACATTTGTCACTTATATCGGGTGGCTTGGACTCTAAATAACTAAAAATAAAATTAGAAGAATAAAACATCAGAATTTTCTGAATTATAAAAAGGCTAACACAAAAGATTCACAAAAGGCTATTAAACCCAAGAATACAAATGCTAATATGCTAATTAAAGTAGCAGATGTACATGAGCTTAACGTAAACTTGAAATAAACCCTTACCCAAGTATACTAATGTAATTTTCATTATGTACATGTACATGTTGCTAGTACATACCCTTTCACATCATGTGAGTAACGACATTTATCTCCAAACCGACACGTGTAATCCTTTGCATGAAAAGACGGGCAGAGTTGTTGTGAGAAATCGAGTCGAGTCGGGGGTCTGTGCTTATTCTGTCCTCTCCTTTTCTTAGTGGGAGGAGCTTCAGGGGCGGTCTGGGGCGTGGTCACTTCCAGAGGTCTTTTTTGGATGTATCTGGTACCATGAACAATAAGTTTATTTTTTATATTTCTCTCTTACTGTGGTTTGATGGGAGCCACCCCGGGAGGAAGAAGGGAGCTGCTAGGAAGAGACGGAGTGCATGCATCTTCCATGCTGTTTCCTATCTTTATTAATATACTGTTGACAAAGGGTTAAAAGTAAGGTATTACTTAACCTGACGTCATAATGTTTTGTGTATATCCATTATTTAGGTGACCCCTTCTTCTATTCCTCTTCCTTCTATCTCCTGAATGGAAAGAGACTCTCATTTCACTTCGTCTAGTTTCAGGTCTTTGCTCTCAGGGATCAGATATCAGCACTTGGTGGCTGGTCTGTGTGGAGGTGTGGCTTCTACTCTAGTGACACACCCATTTGATCTCATTAAGCTAAGATTTGCAGGTACAAAATTATTCTTGTATGTCTCCTCTCCTCTGCCACGATATTCAATACTTGTCCTCATAATTGTCTGCTCTAATTATATATTAAGCGTTGAGTTGTTGAAACAATTTCTTTAATTTTAATAAGAAAAAATTCTAACTATTATTAATAAGAAAAAAATTCTAACTATAATTAATAAAAAAAATTCTAACTATAAAAATAGGCACAATTAATTGTATGTGGATGATTCAAACGAGTCATTAGTTAATGTCAGCCCTTATTGTTTTTTAAGCTTTTCTGTTGCTTGCAGGCGGTATAGGACGTATTTTGCAGCTCCAACAACAGCAAATTTCTGCCACTTCCTATACGGCTCTTTATCCTCATTCCCCCAGTCAGCAATGGCCTTTATCACAATTCCCTCATACTTGCCCTTTTCAGCAGCAGTCATTAGACCTACTCCTTCCATCTCTCCTCCCAGGGCCTGAGGTATTTGCTTGAGTATATCTTCTTTATACTCTTGACTGGCTACCAGCGTATTTTCACTCACTAGGATACCACAATGAATGGCAACTTTTGTGCCATCTCGTTTCTCTAGTTTAAAGCCTTGCTTTTGACTAAATATGTTGCGCAGTTTTTCCCCACATTTCCATTCTTGTGGTCTAGCAGGAAGTTTATCACCTGCTGCACGTCTGCTGGATGTATCCAT